TGGGGGGGGGGGGCCGTGGCGGGTGAGCGAGCCTTTGCCTTTGCCCAGACCTGCCGAAGGGTGTTTTGGAGAGCCAGAAGATCAGGGATGAAGGATGGGACCCGGCTCCGCTCCGGCTCCCGGGGCCAGAAGGGATTTTCTGCATCATCCAAGCCATAGCCCTGCACCGAGGGCTCTGCACCCCCTCCGCACCCCATGTCACAGCCAGAGCACGGCGACCAGGAGCTTCCCGGCGCCAAACGCAACACGGGGTGCCGAGGGGAGCAGAGCCCTCCCCGCCTGCCCAGCCCTGTTCCTGCTCCCGCCGGCCTCGGTGGCACCGTCCCAGGTCCCCATCGCCCCAGCCCCGCATCCTCCCCAGCCAGCGCTGTATGATGTGATCGCCCGGAGGCATCGACGTGCTGCCTTTGCACAACGCTGTGTGTGACCGTCCGCATCGCAGCTGTGTCGCTCCTGGCGTGAGCCGCGGCCACCCTGCCCGCTCCGCGGCCGGCCGGGCTCAGCCTGTACATATAATTATTTTTCTGCAGGTTTTTCGGATGTTATTTCTGGTGACCGATGTAAACTACTGGTAATTTTATGTTTTTATTTATAAATAAATTTTTAAAAACTGACTTAGCGTCTCCTAGCAGCGTTCAGAGGGTTTTCGTTGCCAGTGAGCGGCAACGCAGGACAGTGCTTCACCGTGCCCCTCTCACGTCACCCCCCGCAGGCCACAAACCATTTATCGCGGCACACCAAGGTCCCCTTTGGGGACATCCTTCCACCTGGCCCTGTTTGTTTCCAGCCCCGCGAGCGCTTTGCTGCGCGGGCGAGCGGCGTTATCTCCGCTCTGCAGCTGGGATAACCCATGCGTGGAAAAGCAGCGACTTGCCTCCGGCAAACATGGGGGGCACTGGAGAGGAGGAGATAATCCTCCTGGCCCCGCTCCCAGCCCGTGCCCCACGGCTTCGCCCCCCTGCTCTGCAGGTGAGACCGATTTTCATCCTGACCTCATGCCACCCAAAGCCCCCAGCCCTGGCTGTCCCCAACACACCGTCCCCAGAGCCATCCGCTCCATCTCCCCCGGAAAAAACAATTACAGAGAGAGGGAGACAGTGGAAACGCTTTAACAAAAGACAAGGACATGTTTTGACTATTTAAGCTGTTTTCCTCCAAAACCGTTTGACTCGGACCCCATTTGCACTGCACAGATCTGGTGGTTTCACAGGTCTGAACAGCGCAGGGAGAGATAAAGGGAGGTTTGGAGGGTGGGCAGAAAATAGGGGGAAACACTCAAATTGGGGAAAGTGCCACCCCGGCTCCTCTGGCGGTGTCCACAGGGCACTCGCCCCACCACTGTGCAGGCTGGGGGGCCCCCCCGAGTCACACACAAGCTGCTCTGTGCCCTCCAAAAGGGTACCCGGCTCCTGCCAGCGCTTCCCAGGGAAACCTTGGCTTTGCTCACGCTGCCCGAGGCGTGAGGGAAGTTTATTTTTAGAGCCTTTGAAAACTGCCGAGGAGGAAGGAGATGATAGAAAAACCACGTGCGAGGGCTCTCTTTCTCCTGAGCGGCACCCTCAGTCAGAAATCACCTCCCACCATCACCTGCCCCGGCTGCGGGGTGCTGCCAGCTCAGCCGAGCCCTTCCCAGGGCTTGCCCACATCTCTGGGTGAGGGGAGCAGCGAGGAGGGGACCCCAAGCTGGCTGTTATCCCTGGGAACATCCCCATCCCGCAGATGCTGCAGCACAGAGCCTTAGCGGGGCTGAGCATGAGCAGGAGCCCGGGCTGGTCCAGGAGGAAGCACAGCATCCCTGAGGGCACACGCATCCCAAGGACAGCGCCTTGGCAATGCCCGGGACACTGGGAAGCCAAAACCCCAACCCTGGGGACCCCGAGCTGCTTCTTCCACTAAGAAGCACCGGGGTTCTTGCTTCGTCCGTGCTTTCGGCTAGCTCAGCTCCAGCTGCCCAAGCACCAACCGCCCTCAAACAGAAGGAGTTTGAATTAGTCGTTGAACTAATCAGTGGATGCAAATAAGCTTCAAGACGGAGAAAAGCTGATTTGCATCTTCTTTTAACACCCCGGTGCCACTGCACCAGTTGCTGGCTATGGGGGGCAGAGTCAGACCTAAAAATCTCAGCAGAGACAAGACCGGGGCTGCCTTTGAAAGAGCAATTAAACCGAGCCACCTCTCGCTGGCAGGGTGATAGAGGGTCGGAGGCAAAGCCGCTTTTGATGTGCAAATAACCTGCAGCAGCTCTCCCCACCAGCCCGCTCCCCTGCCTTGCATCTGCCAGTCCCAACTGAAAACCCAAGGGGCAGGGTGGGGGAAAGGCGGCCAACGTTTGCTCTCCTCCCCTCCTAAATGAGCCGACAGCTGGCGTGTGCTTCTCGGAGGGACCCGACTGGCTGACATCAGTTGGCGAAGGGGGATAAGACCCCCAGGCAGTCCTCATTAGCCATTACCAAAAAAAAAAAAAAAAGAAAACAGCGTGTAAATGCACTAAGGCAGCAGCTGGGAGAGCAGCACGTCCCATTTAGCGTGGTACCTGCTGTCTCCGCACCGTGAAATATTGGGTTGTTTGTTTAGCATCCGGCTCAGCGCCAGGGCAGGAGCTGCCCAAGGACTGCTCACGGCATCACCCGGCCCGACACCACGCCGAGGGGCATCCTTCCTCCCAGTGCTCAGCGCCCCTTTGCTTTCCCACCCCATTTTCCCAGCGAAGGGCTATGTTCTCGGCTCAGCGCTAAAATAGCTGTGCTGCAAGCCCCAGCCTGCTCCCGGGGCCTCCGGCTGACGGGAGCTAAAGCTATTTTTGTCATTCCTCTCTTACAGGGCCCCGTGCCAGGTTCAGGCTCTTCGCTACCTGGGAGCTTCAATCTGTAGGACGGGCTCTGTTGCAACCCAAGGACCTGCCCCCGCGCAGGGTGACAGCGACGCTGTGCCTGTGTCAGCAGATGGATTTTCACCAGCAGCCGGGCAGCGCGAGGCCGGAGGAAGATGGAGATTTCTGCCGGAAACTCTGGAGCTGGAGGAGAGCAGGCACCGGCGTGCCCTGCAATCCCGGTGGAGGAGCAGCGTGGCACGGGCAGCACAGCCCAGCCGCCCCCGTGCACGCGTCCAGGGAGGAGAGGGGACAGGTCAGAGCTGGATGTTGCCACCAAACCTCTGCCAGACATACACACCTCATTAAACCAGCAGTCCTCGAGGTCTAAGCCGCTGAATTAACTCCCCCAGAAAAGAGCTAAAGAGTCTCAGCACGCTGATTTTGTGGCAATACGCACAACTTTCTCCCTTGACCTTACAAAGCCAAGCAAACCAGAACCAGCCCTATTCCCACCGTTCCCCACAAACGCCATTCCCAAACTCGGTGCATTTGCAGCCAGCGGCATCCAAACAAGCTAAGAGGCATCACTGCGTGCACTGCTGCTCCCAGCG